AGCCTCTTGTTCTTATGATTACACCCCGTGCTTCTTTCCACCCCCTCTTGAGTTCTTTTTTTAATAATTTCCTAAATTCGGAAGATAACCTAATCCGTGACTACGAAGCTGAAGTTTCTCTTCCTGCCCTGGGTTTGGTGGGACTCTGGGACGCTGAGCATCCCCAGTCACCCTGCTCTGCCCGGCTGTGCTTGGCACCCCGAGGCCTCCCCACGCACCGGGTGTGTGATGGGCAGCAGAGAAGACAACAGTGATCTGTACTTAACATTAGGTGGCACAAAAGAGTTTCCTTTTGCTCGCAGGAATACTGAAATATATGGGCACTAACGAGCAGAGATTTTCTTTTCTTTAAATGACATTCTCCTTCCCTATTTTTTCCAGCTTCCAAGTAGTCTTTGAAGTACTTCTGCTCAGCAACTTTCTTGATTCCGTTTTTCATTGCGTCTCTTTGGGTCTCTCAAGATAATTTGTTTTAAAATAACACATAACTCAGCCCTCGCTGTAGTTGTATTTACAGAAAAGCCGAAGGGCTCTAAAACAGGCTAATTTCAGTGAAATGCTTTCTGTCCTTCCCCCAAACCAGTGCTGGCTGTAAGAGCTTTACCTCTGGGAACCCTGAGCGCTGAGAGCCAGCGTGATCCCATAGTGTGTGTTTTAACAGGAAGGTTGTCCTCCGTGTCCTTAGCTGGGGCTGGTTACAGACCACGGCCATTGACTCCTGGTTTGGTAGCCGCGCTACTCGGCGCACATTTATTTTGTTTATAGAGTAGACTGAAAAATGTGATTTTGGGGAGGGTATAATTCTTTCTCCTCCTGCTGTAATCCTTTCTGAAACTGCTGCAGATCGGCGTCCTGCTGCAGAGGGCTTTGCTTTGCTGCCCCAGCGCAGGGGCAGGCACAGGCCCATCACCCCCAACACCACCGTGTCTGTGCGGTGCTGCAGCTTGCAAAGACTTACGAAAAAGAAAATAAATCAGTTTTATGGTTAAGAAACAGAGCATCGCCCACTGTTTATATCTCAAATCCCTCTCGCTAACAGGTACAGGACTGTATGTTTGCTGGACCTGGCAGGGAAAGGTGCCTGTCCACTCGTGCTCCTGCTGGGTGATCATAAAGACAAGGGAGCTCCCTCCTCGCTCGAGTCGCTTCTCGGGACTCCTAAAGGTAATTTTCCCTTCCCCTAAACTGTTCACAGAGGGATGGGTTATTGTTTTCTCCAAGGTTTAGCTTCAGAACGGGGGAAAGAAAAAAAAATATAATTAATAAAAGGCCATTTGGCTGGTGATACCGTGAAGTTTGCTGCTTTCCTGCCTCCCCCCGCAGCACCCACCCTCCTCCCTTCGCCCGGCCCGGCTGCCGGGGATGGAGCTTCCCCGTTTCACCCCATTAGATGTGATTAACTGTTATTGTTCCTCCCGAACACGCCACTTCCCGCCCAGGGGGAGCGGGGGGCGGC